TCGCCATGTCACATTGCCATCAAGTGACGTTTCGTGACGTTTTTCCCATTTGTGGAACTGGTGTGGGCATGATATACATGTGATACATCCGGCCTATGAGCCGCCAGTTTGACACCCTGATGTATGGTTTCTAGATTTTTGCAGCCTAGGTCTGTTAGTCTTATCCTAGAGTTGTTATTGTAAGGTAGCAGACTGGATTTACACATTGCACTAAACTATAGCTGGTCCTTGTCTATGGAAATTCTCATTCATCCTGGTCATGGTTGTCCCAAAGATGCTTTTTGAAAAGGCAACTGGACTAAAAGCATCTTTTTGTATTAGCTCAGTACAACTAGTCCTGCAATTGAGGCCAGCAAATTGGTCACGAAGCAAAGTGTTTCTAAATGAAACATCACAGTATTGTGATATTACTTCAGCTTGTCTTTATTTTGCAGACCTGCAAAGGTTACAAATGTGGTTATTGATTATAAAGTTATAATCACTATCATAAGTGCAAATGGTGTCCAAGGCATTTTGCTAAATGAGAACTATTTGTATTCCAAACACAGTTGAGGAGAGCATAGGGGAGCATAGGCAACAATGTACATTTTTTTTTATTTACAAAATACTTTAATAATGTTGATTGTGTTATGTGAACCAAGCCATTGTAACCTGTTAATTATGATTTATGTCTTGGTGTGTTATCTGAATTTAGCCCATTGTCATTTATTCGGCAAGCTATGGTTAAGCGCAGCACAATGTGTTAAAATAGGCATCGTTTCAATTAGCAAATATTCCAGCTTCATTTATTCATTCCTTTTAGGGGATCTATACCATAAATTGACTTTCATGGCCATTTATCATTGGGAGATGGTATAATTACATCTGTTCATCAAAGTACATCCACACTGGCCTCTTTAAAATGAGCATTGTTAATATGTAGCATTTTACAACGTATATAACTAAAAGAGACTCTTAAAATACCAGTTTAAAGCAATTATTGAATTGCCTGTTTATTCTTCCTAGGGAGCACATTCCATCAATGTGGGGCCATTGCTAGAAATAGATCATTTATAACAACCTCAGTCTACTATCTCTTGCTCAGTAAACAGCAGGGATCCTTCATTGGATTAAATCCCAGCAGGCTCATTTGGATGCACATGGTCTTTCAGGTGACATGATCTGCAATGATTTAGGACTTCACAGGCAAACTTAACATTTTAAATAGGACGCAGAATCAAACAGGCAGCCAGGGCAACCGTAACATAACAGATGCATCTGTTTCTCATAGCAAGTAGCAGCAGCACCCAGCAAATTTCCAAACAGGGCTTAGCCTGCTATTACTTGGATAAAAGACCATTTGAAGCATCCAAAGATAAAGACTGGGCCTGAAAAACTACTTTTTCTGTATTATTGTCCGCTTGCTAGTCCCTTCCCCCAAATGTTGTCATCTGATGGGAACTAGGAAGTGTTCTGCGGGAGCCCCTGCCTTATAAAACACCCTTCCCCCTGAAGGTCTCCACCCTCTTCATCTTCCGTAAAGCTGGCTTTTTCCCTAGAGTTGGAAAAAGATGATTGTCAGACCTGGAAGCAATCTTTTCCATTGGGCCTTCAGGCCTGCCACATTTTCTACTGTGGGAAAATGGGAAGGGGGATTATAGGGAGTATGGCAGAGGTGGTATTCAGCAGGTTCTGACTTGTTCTGGAGAACTGATAGCGGAAAGGTTTAGTAGTTCGGAGAATCAGTAAATACCACCTCTGACTGGCTCCACCTCCATCTACTCTCTGCCTCCTGAGTCCCAATTGATCAGGAGGGAATGCAGTAACCTTCCCCTGGAGTGGGGAGGGAATGGAGATTTTACAGTATCCTTCCCCTGCCACCCCCTCCAAGCCACGCCCATCAAGCCATGCCCACAGAACCAGTAGTAATTTTTTTTGAATCCCATCATTGGCGTATGGGTGATATATAGTCAAAATAACATTCTTTTCTCAGAGAGTCAAGGACACTTTGCCCAGCAGCTGCAATGTGCTCTACATGGGGCAGCCCTTGAAGAGCATTCGGAGACTTCAGCTTGTCCAGAATGCAGCCGCGCGAGCGATCGTGGGTGNCTAACCCTAAACCTAACCCTTACCTTAAGTTGAATCGGCTTTCTTTCAATGTGCTATTTAAAGCGCCCTTCTTTCTCCGCGTTGGCTGTTGTTGCCCTGTTGATGACGTCAGTGACGCGGTTTAGTCGGGCGCGGTTTTGTCGTTTGCCCTTTTGACGGGTCACGGATTTTCCCATTGGATATTATGGGAAAATATTGCTATGTTGCTATTTTTTCATTAATAGAACAAAATGAAATTGCACTGAACAGCAGATGGACTCAAACATCTAAACATCCCCTTCTAATTCTACGGTTTGCCGACAAGCTAGTATGACGGGCAAAATATGAGTTACATTGGTGCAGGAGCTTTCAAGCTACACTACAAGCTGATGCTTAATCCTACCATTACTTATGTATTCACATAGAATGAGATAAAATTTGCTAGCATGCTACAGCATTATGAGGAATTATGTGTGCAGGTTTCTATAGACTTTTGGAATGTCATGCTTTGAAGAAGTCCTATCACAGAGTGCTGTTTCAAGAAGTAATTTAGAATAGAATAGAATAACAGAGTTGGAAAGGACCTTGGAGGTCTTCTAGTCCAACCTCCTGCCCAGGCAGAAAACCCTTCAGCACTACAGACAAATGCTTATCCAACATCTTCTTAGAAACTTCCAATGTTGGAGCATTCACAACTTCTGGTGGCAAGTTGCTCCACTGATTAATTGTTCTAACTGTCAGGAGGCTTTTAAAAGGAGACTGGACAATCACTTGTCTGAAATAGTACAGGGTCTCCTACTTGAGCAGAGGATTGGACTAGGAGAAGACCTACAAGGTCCCTTTCAACTCTGTCTTTTTGTTCTGTTCAAACTACCAGACCAAACATCTGCTTCGAAATAATATATCATAACAGAGTTGGAAGGGACCCTGGAGGTCCTCTAGTCCAACCCCTGCTTAGGCAAGAAACCCTACACCACTTCAGACACATGGTTATCCAGCATCTGTTTAAAAAACATCCAGTGTTGGGGCATTCACAACTTCTGGAGGCAAGCTGTTCCACTGATTAATTGTTCTAACTGTCAGGAAATTTCTCCTCAGTTCTANGACAAATTCAGCGTCTTAGCCACCGAGCCACTGCGTCCCTAGATAAAGATAACAGCGTGCTTACCAACTTCCTAAGATCCTTTCCATAAATGGAAAAAAAGAACCTGTTTCAAATAATAGAGGGTTGTTTTTATTAAGAGTAAAATGTCTTGACCTGCATGTGTCAAAACCACTGGAAATGCTCTTGCAAATATGAAATGGGTGTAAGCTGTGCCAAAATAATATTAAAAAAAAATAATAATTGAGCAAGACCCCTTCAAAATGAATGATGCGCCACACTGATGATGTTACATATTTGGGTAATGAAACATCTGCAAGAAAACCACCAAGCTCAGAGAGCATCAAGGATTCCAGAGTTCAGCCTTGAGTTACAAATATTCTCTCCTATGGGCACTGGTACTGTATATAAACAGAGAACAAACCTCACTCTCTCTAGCGCTGATGATGTTACCTAGTTGGAGAGTGAAATGTCTGCAGGAAAACCACCAATTTGATATTATCAATGGATGATAGATAAAAGTGAACAGAGGACCCAATCAAACAATGTAAAATTCTTAATAAGTGAAGATGAAGATGAATAGGTAAAAGATAGAAATCAGAAATGGGGAAAAGATTACTTTCTTAACTTGGGAACTATTCTAAAAATGGGTATAAAATAGCAGCAGAAGTTAGAAATCTAGATGTATAAACAAAGATGAAATAATTTGTGTAATTGAGTAAGGAACATTGAATAAGTAAGATAAGTAAACTGTATAATTATTTGGAAATTAATGGCTGCAAATCTGATGTTTCCTTGATGTTTGCAATGTTAGATATTATTAATAGATTATAGATAAAACCGAACAGAGGGCTTAATCAAATAATGCAACATTTTCAACAAGGATAAGGGAAGATGAAGATGAATAGGTATTGAGAATAATAGTCACAACTCTTGTGTACAGTATATAAGATTTATTATCTGTATCAGAGGTGCGTTGCTTCTGGTTCAGCCCGGAACGGGCGAACCAGCAGTGGCGGTGGCGGGAGGCTCTGCCCACACACCCACACAAGCATGAGAGAACCAATAGCATCGGGATTTGCAACACGCCTCTTATCTGTATTCAATAGTGATTGTTGAGATTGTACCCAGACAGTATACTGTTATTGTGAATATAGAGATTTTATACATAGCCAAGAAAATCATACAATAAAAATATATTTTAAAAAAGAAGAAAACCACCAATTCTGGAGAGCACTACAGAATGACAGAATTGGAAGGGACCTTGGAGGTCTTCTAGTCCAACCCCCTGTTTAGGCAGGAAACCCTACACCACTTCAGACAAATGGCTATCCAACATCTTCTTAANTCTAACTGCTATTGCTATTGCTAGAATGCCAGAATCTTGAAGACCAGCTGGCCACTGTGGGCATGCCTGTTTCTTGGCCATTTTTCAGGCCCGGAAACATCTGGGAAAATGGTCCAGAAAACAACCCGAAAGAGGCCTGAAAATAGCCCGGAAAATGCCCGGAAAATGCTCCAAAAATGGCCTGAAAAAAACCAGTTTTGTGGGCATTCTTCGGGCCATTTTCATGCCATTTTCCATGTCCAGTGAAGACCAGCTGCCTGGTGTGCGTGTGGAAACCAGAAGATCAGTGTGCCCATAGAGAAGGCTCTGCGTGCCACCTCTGGCAGTCGTGCCATACGTTCATCACCATGGAACTATAGGGAAGGTTTTCAACTATAGGGAAGGTCATTTGTGGCCAATTAGACAAATACTCCAATTCCTGACATGACATTCCTGAATCTCTGGTCACTTGATCATCTTCTTCCTTCTTTCTTCACAGAACCAATGGTCCAAAAGCACACTGAGGGTCTTCAGACCTGGTGTGGCACTAATCCAGAACTTATCCCTTTGGAGAGGGTGACCGATCTCCTCCTCGTGGAAGGGCTGAGCGATCTCCAGCAGAAGCAACATGATTTCATCCAGATCGAAACCACCAACGGCTTGAGGAACATCTCCAAAAAGATCTCCCTAGAGAAGCTCTTCCTGCCTCTCTCCAAACTCAGCAGGCCTCCACGGGTCTCGATGACAATTGGTGTGGCGGGGATCGGCAAGAGCACCCTGGTCAAATTATTTGTCCACGCTTGGGCCAAGAGAGAGATAAGCAAAAAATTCACGTTTGTTTTGCCTCTCACCTTTCGGGAACTGAACGCTTACGAAAAGCTCTCGGCCGAGAAGCTGGTCAGGCTGGCAGCCCCCCACTTAATGGACCTCAGCCTTCTTCCCGTGAGCAGTGCCAGAGTCCTTTTAATCCTGGATGGACTAGACGAATTCAAGACCCTCCTGGATTTTTCCAATGCAGCGGTTTGCACGGACCCCCAGAAGGAGATCCAAGTGGACAACCTACTCACCAACATCATCCGAGGCCACCTGTTGCAAAAGATGTCCATCTGGATTACTTCCCGGCCAACGGCAACCAGCCAAATCCCGGGGGGTCTGGTGGACCGGTTGACTGAGATGCAAGGTTTCGGAGAGACTGAAATAAAAAACTATTTAGGTCACATGTTTGGTGAAAACCAAAGCTTAGCGGACGGTGTGATGCAACATCTCAAAAGCAACAAGTCCTTGTATGCCCTCTGCACTGTGCCAGCGTTTTGCTGCATCTGCGGCTCGTCGATGGGCTATTTCCTAACAAGTGCTGCTGATCGGCCTCCAGAAACTTCAGCCATCCCTAAGACGTTGTCAGAAATCTATTCCTATTACCTTAAAATATTGCTGTGCACTGATTGGCAAGGGAAACAGAAGGAAGTCCTCCGGATTGAACCAATGGTGAACAATGGCAAGAAGATGATGAATGGGCTGGGGCGATTGGCCTTCTACAGTCTGATCAAGAGAAAGTACATGTTTGTTGAGCAGGACATGAAAGCTTATGGAGTTGACCTCTCTTCCCTTCACTTCAGCTTATCCAGTAGGGTCCTGCTTAAGGAAGAGACCCCATTTTCTAGCATCTACTATTTCTCCCACTTAACGTTTCAGGAATATCTAGCGGCTACTTATTATTATTCCGTGGCCAAGCGTGCCCTCTTTGACCTCTTTGTTGAAAGTGGCATGTCTTGGCCCAAGCTGGGCTTTGTCAACCATGTTAAAAATGCCATCCAGAGATCCTTACAATCCGAGGATGGGCACCTGGACATTTTTATACGCTTCCTTGTTGGTCTCCTTTCCTCGCCGGTAAACAAAGTCTTGTCCGATTGGTTCCTGGTGAGGGACGAACACCACAGCTACCAGAGTCATGTGGTGGGCCTCTTCCAGAATTTCCTGGCCGTGGACCAAGTTGTCTCCTGCAGGACTGTGAACCTCGTGCGGTGCTTACACGAGCTTCAATACACAGAGATAGCTGCCAACATTGAGGAGGCCATGAAAACCGAGAACCTAGCTGGAATGTTGACCCCAATGAATTGCTCCGCCTTGGCTTACGTTCTCCAGACATCAGAGGCGTGTGTGGAAGAAGCCAATCTCTCCAATTGTCTCACTTATCACATCTTGCAAAGTCTTCTCTCCCAGCTGCTTTACTGTCGCAGTCTCAGGTAGGTCTTATCCAGGGTTTGAAATGAGATGAGGCTCACCCAGAGCTGGATTATTTAGACAGTTATTAGAAATCAGGGGTGGGATTCTGCCGGTTCAGCCTGGTTCAGGCAAACCGGTAGCTCCGAAGATCCACTGGGAGCGAACTGGTTTGCTCCCATGAGCAAGTGGGCTCGCCCATCTGCCTGCCCGCCCCTGCACTTTACCTACCTTTATCTTCTCAACTGTCTAGGGATGGGGTGGCTCAGGGGCTAAGATGCTGAGCTTGTCGATCAGAAAGGTTGGCAGTTCGGCAGTTCGAATCCCTAGCGCCACGTAACAGAGTGAGCTCCCATTACTTGTCCCAGCTTCTGCCAACCTAGCAGTTTGAAAGCATGTAAAAATGCAAGTAGAANGAGTCCTTGGGAGAAGGGCGGCATATAAATCTAATAAGCTTAAACCTAAACTTAATGAGCGTCTCACTTAACAACAGAAATTTCGTGGTCATTTGTGGTCATAACTGTATTTTGGAGATGGGTTTTTAAAGAAAAGAACAGGAGGAAGCAAAAACTATTTTAAATTTGTCTGCTGATAAGGTAGCCAAAAGTCACAAGAAGAAGAAGCTAGGCCTGATAACGGTGTAGCCAAGACTTGGCCTGTTCCTTCAAAGCTTAAAACAGTTGTGCATCTTCTGACAGCAGTCACACCGTAGTATCTTGTGGCCCCTGATGTGCAGATGGGACCCATGGGATGGACAACCAGTGAGGGACACTTTTGTTAGGTTTTGAATGTCATACGACAGCAAGGGAAGTGGCTGAAAGATGTTTGCCAGGAAACCTTCATGGCTTTGACTCAGCATCACAAGAATCAAATCCTGGGGAAGCCTCACAAAATGGAGAACGAGAATCGGTAACGGTGTTTATGATACAAAAATGCAAATTCGTTTTCGTTTTGGGAGATCTGAATCCTGTCCTGCCACGGGCAGAGCTTTTCAGCGGAGGAGTTTTTATTTTTAATTTCCCCCCCCCCACCCCCCGGAAGAGATGGGACTATCTGAGTCATCATCCTTTTGCAGACGTGGGTTTTTTCCCCCCTCTTTCGTAGGAAAGTTTAATCCTACACATTCAGGCCATTTTTCAAGATGATAGCAAAGCACGCAGAGGACCGATGCAGAAAAGAGGGACATTGCAACAAAATGAAAAAAGAGAGAGAAACAGTACAATATAATAATTTTCAATAGCTCATTTTTCTTTTTCCTTTCACTCTCCCGAGCCACTAGTGACGGAAGCATTTTGCTTTGCTTGAAATATTAGAGATTGTTGTCCCAGAGAGGCTTTTTTTTCAAGAGGCAACTAAACTTTCCCTGTTTTTTTCTTTGAAGACAATTCACTTCTCATCCAAGAAGCTTTTTCAGCTTTAAAAGATAGGGAGGAATGGAAGGATTTATTCTCCTTGCAGACAGCTGGTCATTTGCATCCTTTTAGAGCAGTGTTTCTCAACCTTGGCAACTTGAAGATGTCCGGACTTCAACTCCCAGAATNCACAAATATTCTCTGCTATCGGAATCATGGCTCTGTTTCAATTGATTGGAGGTTGATTTTTCACATTTTAAAAAAAAGGTGGTTTCTCTTCTCTTTTTGTTTTTTTGTTTTGTTTTTGGCCACGGTCTGGTAGCATCCACCAATACAGACTTGTGGTTCGCTCTCTGTCACGTTGCTCCTTCGGTAGCCACCTCACTGCACCAGGTTGTCTTGTAGCCTATGCAGCAAACAGGAAGGAAGATCGAATTAGACCCCGCAGCACAGGAAGAGGTGAAGAAGAGTGAAACTCTGAACTGAACCAAAAAATAAAAAAAATCATTAAAAAGAGATAATGCAACGTTGCTGGAATCATGTTGGCAATCCAGTGACAAGAATAGCTGTCCTTTGCAACACGAGTTAGCCTCGTCGTAATTTTATTCTTGGACCGAGAACCTCCCAAAAGAGACCTAGATCTACCTTTTATCATAAAAACTCTCAGCCGTTGGAAGCCGCTGATCCAGACAAGATATCTCCGTTCAAAACCAGATCTTCTAAACAAGGAACTTGTATTCAAAAGTGAAGCACTCAAAATACAGAAGTTTGGCTCTCCATAAGCTGGAAGTTGGATTTAAAATGAAAGTTTCGGGGAGTCCCAGAGGAATTTCAAGAAATGTAAGTATTTTCAGAGACTGGGAAATTAAGTGTCTGTGCCTATATGTACTGGTAGTCCTCAATTTACGGCATTTCATTTAACGACCATTCAAAGCTACAACAGCACTGAAAAAAGTAGACCAGTTTTATGATCATTCTTCACACACAGGATGGTTGCAGCATCCCCATTAATCATGGGATCAATATGCAGAAGCTTGGCCACTGACTCATATTAATGATGATTGCAACATCCCGGGGGTCATGGTCTCCTTTTGCGACCTTCTGACAAGCCAAGTCAATGGGGAAGCCAGATTCGTTTAACAACTGTGTCACCAACTCAACAACTGCCGTGTTTTTCACTTAACAACTGTAGCCAGGAATGGTGGTAAAATGAGGCAAGACTCTCAGGGTGCCGTCGGCCAGATAGTGTCGACTAGCGACCCCCAGGGGGAGAGCCTTCTCTGTGGGAGCNACTCCAGGGGAAGGATACTGCAAAATCCCCATTCCATCCCGATCAGCTGGGACTTGGGAGGCAGAGAATAGATAGGGGCGGGGCAGCCAGTGGTAGTATTTACTGGTTCTCCAAACTACTCAAAATTTCCGCTACCAATTCTCCAGAACTGGTCAGAACCTGCTGAATATCACCTCTGGCTCACACCCACCCAGCCCCCTTTGGTCAAATGTTCTCACAGCCACTGGGAACACTCCACCATTTCTCCATCCATGCTTAAATAACCCACCCATTTCTTTCTTCTCCCCACTTTGGATTAATGAAAAATGCTTTGGTCCCCCCCCTTTTTTTCCCCTCCCTGCCAAGGTTGGATTGCAACCAGTTGAAGGACCGTGACATGGACCTTCTCAGCAGCATGCTGAGTGTTAAAGACTGTCAAATTCAGAGAATCAGGTATTTCTCATCGAGAGGACAATTTTCTCTCTGTCTCCCTCTCTCTTTCTCCTTCTCCTCCCTTCTTCTTTTTCTCTTTCTCTCTCTTTCTCATTCTTTATCTTCCTTTCTCTTTCTCCTTCTGCTACCTTTTTCTTTTTCTTTCTCTCTCGTTCTTTTTCTCTCTCTCTCTCATTCTTTCTCTTCCTTTCTCCTTCTCCTCCCTTCTTCTTTTTCTTTCTCTCTCTCTTTCCTTCTCTCTCATTCTCTCTTTCTCCTCCTCCCTTCTCCTTTTTCTCTTTCTCTCTCTCTTTCTCATTCTTTCTCTTCCTTTCTCTTTCTCCTCCTTCTTTTCTCTTTCTCTCTCTCTTTCTCTTCTCTTTCTCTTTCTCCTTCTTTTCTTTCTCTTTCTCATCCTTTCTTTCCTTCTCTCTCATTTTTTTCTCTTCCTTTCTCTTTCTCCTTCTGCTCCCTTCTTTTTCTTTCCTTCTTGTTCTCTTTTCTTTCTCTCTCTCTCATTCTTTCTCTTCCTTTCTCCTTCTCCCTTCCTTTCTCCTTCTCCTCCTTCTCTTTCTCTCTCTCATTCTCTCTCTTCCTCTTTCTCCTTCTCCTCCCTTCTCCTTCTTTTTCTCTTTCTCTCTCTTTCTCTCTCATCCTTTCTCCCCCCCCCCATTCTCTTTACAGATTGAACACGAGCATTTTATATTTCTGTTTCCATTCTTTGAAATTATTAGCAGCTGTCAGAATTATCCCCTTCGTGGGGAAGAAATTATCCTTGTTTTGGGATGAAAAAAATCATAGTCTCACCCCCCCCCCCAACATCTGACAATAAGACTGCAACCTCATAACAGAGATGGAGGAGATGGATCGTTTCCTGCTTCTCCTTCCTTGGTCTTTCAGAGATCCCATCTCTGTTGATTTCTAGCAGTGTCAAATTGAGAAAGGACACATTTTTTGCGGCTGTCACTTTTCTTGATGTTCCAAGGTTTTTATTACTTGTAAGACAATAAAGAACAAATATTTAATAATGCAGTTTCCTTATGATTGATGACTATTGATATCTCCTCTGACATGATAATTTGAAGGAGAAGACTATATTTTTAGGAATAATTTCTTATAGATGGGACCGAGCGATGGGGGATCGAAAATGACTTGCAAACGATTGTGTTGCAGTTGCCTCAACTGAGGGCGACATTCTTTTAGATGGGGTGGGAAGAAATATCCAACTGGTTCCATTCCAAGCTGGGAGAAAAGGCCTTGGAAACAAAATGGAGGGTAAAAGATGATTGGAAATAGGGTCCATTTATTGATGAAGCAGATTCTGGGCAGCTGACCACAGGGAGTTGAGAGTGCGAGGGGTTTTGTACCTTCTCTTGGCTTTTGCACTTGAGCTTCCTGTTCCTGTGCAAGAACACACATTCTATTGGCTGTTGACAGACTCCCATGGGGCCATGCAGGGGTTATATAGAGGTCATAGCTGACTCTATAGGCAAAGTACAAAGCCCAGGTGTTTTTGTCTGAGCTAAGTTTGGTTGACGTTTCTGTGGGTGATGCAATGACTGAAATGCCCTTTGCAGATTGCGCAATGTAGTGAGCTCTGTATCTTCTGCAAAACGGTAGTGGGCTAATGCTATTATGCCCTGAAGGCCTGTGGCCGAAGATCTTTTGTTTTGTAGATAGGCTGGCACACTCTTTCTTAATGGGCACAAAATATCTGCTTGGGGGGAGGATAACCATTTGTCTGAAGTGGTGTAGGGTTTCCTGCCTAAGCAGGGGGTTGGGCTGGAAGACCTCCAAGGTCCCTTCCGAGTCTGTTGTTCTATATCATTCTATTCTATCAACTTTCCTCTTGCATTTTTTTCTTTTCTTTTTTACATTAACTATAAAAGGGAATTTAAGCTAAGAATCGGGGTTCCCTCTTTGCACGAGAGGAATCCTTTTGTCTGAATATTTTGATAAATTGTAATAAAATGATCTTCCTGCCCTGATTTGTCTCATTGGAAAATATGCATGCCTAGGTACCAGACTAAAAAGCTCTATTTGGCCTTCACTAGTGAACTGGTGATCTATATCTATCTCTATCTCTATCTCTATCTCTATCTCTATCTCTATCTCTATCTCTATCTCTATCTCTATNTCTCTCTCCCTATCCTTTCTCCTTTTTGATCTCTCTTCTCTCTTTCTCTCTCTCCTTTCTCCTTTTTGATCTCTCTTCTCTCTATTTTCTACCTCGTCTCTCTCTCCCTCTCTTTGTAGTTTCCATAAGAACTACTTCTAGTTTTTCTACACCCCACTCTCTTGTATACATAGCCTAGATTGAAGAACATGCAGACTGTGCATGCTTCCCTGTGCACATATAGATAGAAACACACATATGTGGGGAGAACAGAAATAATATATGGACAGATATACAGAAACTCCCCTATGGCCACTTCTGCTAATGATTGGAAATTTATGTAAGTAATTTCCAGATTTGTTTCCAGCTAGCATATTTCAGTCTCCATTCCTACATTCAGGTTACAGAAAAACATACTACTCGATCTCTGCAAAAAAAAGTCTGTTGCTTGATATTTAAAAAGCATCACACAACAAAACCCAGGTGGAAATATTTGACAGTCACTCTCTGTCAGCCCTGGGAAGGAGGCAAGGGGAAATCACATCTGAAATCTTGTGAAAAAAACTACAGAGACTTGTCCAAGCAATTGCCAGGAGTCAACAACAACTAAAAGACATTTCCAAAAAACAACAACCCCAAAAATCAGTTTACTGGGAATAAAGATCAAAGGCCTACAAAAAGAGAGAAGCCAATGAATCAGTCATCAATAGACACATAGAGATAAACCTCATTTCAACCATTCAAAAGAAACAAAGTGACCAGACCATAACATCTTCAGTAGACAATACCAGATAAGCAGGGATTAACACCAGACAAATCAAATCAGACTAGAGTTGGAAGGAACCTTCTAGTCCAGGAGTCAGCAACCTGTGGCTCTAGAACCGCATGCGGCTCTTTCATCCCTGTGCTGCGGCTCCCTGTCACTGGATGGATCCACAATTGATAGGGCTTTTAGTTAGGACAGATAGAGGAAGAAGGACGCCATGCTAGGGGGAGACTCTATGGTGGGGGAATCGGACTTCCAGTTGGCTCTAGAATTGAATGAGGGGCTTCCGGTTAGGACCTTTGCGGCTCTTTGAGTGTTTAAGGTTGCCAACTCTTATTCTAGACAAACCTGCTTAATCAGGAGACCCTATACCAGTGATGGCTAACCTTTTTCTCCTCGCGTGCTAAAATCACATCCATGCACATGACAGTGCGTGTG